GATGCCTCCATATCCCCTTCAAGCCATTTGCTACATTTGGTCATTCCTGCTAGTGTCTTCTGAACTTTTTCCAGTCTGCCCATACTTATTCTGAATTTTTCCAGTCAGCTCTTGTCCTCACTGCCCTGAATAGCTTAGTCTCAGGAGCAAACTTTCTTGCCTAAGCTTCTACTCTCTCCTTGGGAACAGCCTGAAAATCAAATGTTATAGCAGTCTTCTGAAATCTAGACATTTTAGTAATAGTAGTGAGAAATCTGAAGCTCACAGACTATTTAAAAAATTCAAATATTCGCCAAATGAAAAATGAGAGAAAAATAGAAAGTGAAGAATTTTAAGTATTGTTAACATCATAAGAATGCTACAGAAGCTACTTATAAATAAAAAGCTTACATATGAAGTAAACTTTATTCCAGAAATATTCTATAAAATTCATAATATACAGGAGTATTTGTTACATTCCTGAAGATTCCAAGCAAATTGCCATTTGTCATAATGATTGAGTGCATCACTGAATAGAAATAAATATAGTGTAAACAGCTCAGCATGCAAAGAAAATATGAGATGAAGTTTGTCATGGGGAATTTTTTAGTCTCTCATGTATATTTACTGGCCTGGGTTTAAGAAAATGAAGCAAAAGAAGTAAATACAAAAATGAAAATATAACTGAAACTTATTTGACATCCAGATTTTGACATTCACTACCCGGTACATTGTCCCACACAGGAGTCCAACTGAACTTTATAGAAGCTGAAGAATGGTGTTTCCAGCCTTCTAAATTCCCCACAAAGCCATTAATTTCTCGGTGCCACTTCACATAGTAAAGACAGGGGTGGAGGCATCCTTCTGAATCACCACCCTCTGAGGCTCGTTAAAGCTACAGCTAGCAACAGCCAGGAAGGGGTCAGACAAATGCATCAAACCCAGTGTGAGTCAGATAGTTGGTTTGCTTTTCTTACAGCAAACTGAACCTGCTCTGAAACACAAAGTGAGTGGCTTGGGAACATCCAGGACACAAGAAGCAGAAAGCATACAGAGGCCATCTAGCCTGTGCATGCTCTTATGTTCATGCCCTGGAGGAACTATCTATTCACCAAGCAAACAAAAGCAGTGCCAATCAGCATATCAGAATTCCCAGCTCATATGGTCAATATCAGAACTAAAGAATAATCTAACCTTTGAACTTTGAATGCTGTCATTAATATTTCCTTTAGTTCCTCATTCATGTTTCTTCTTCCTATCACTGAACTCGGCATCCTGGTAGTTGACCATGTCTTTTTTTCCTCATTGATATTCTTAGAAAGTTCCTTAGACCACAAAGCATTTTCTAAAGAGTTCTCTTACATTATTAAAATAATCCTAAATACTTAACATTTTTAGATAGTTAAGGCCTAAGAGCTCTTCTGAAAGCGACTGCAAAACTTTCATTGACTAACATGCAGTTACAGAACACTGGACTTTATTGGTGGGAAATAGAAGACTCTGCAGGCACAGAAAATACTTCTCATCTAGAAACATAGAAAGGGAATTAAAAGTAAATATCTTCTCCACAGAATACATTTTGATTCTATATGAGAAGAAATTGAGACAGCTTATTAAGTAATTCTCAGGGTCACAGTCAACGTCTAACCAAGCCATTAGAAAAATCTTTGCATTCATTTCATCATGACATGCCAATAAGTAACTGATGGAAAAATTACAGTAGGAGTGGAGAAAAAGTAATTTCTAATTTAGTATGGCCATTATCTTGATCCATGTCAAAAATGTACAATTTGCATAAAAGTCTCAATCACCCAGGAAAAACAAGGAGATATTTAAAACTTTCAACTTCAATTACCTTTTATGCCTGTGTTGCACACATTTTGGAAAAATGGGTGATTTAATTTGGTGTGAAGAAATAAAGCTAGCAAGTGACAATGAAAAAAAGGAAATGAATCTGGTGATAAATAATCTAAAATAAAAGACAGGTAATGGACAAGAATTTGAAGTTTCAGCTTAAAAAAAACAGCATGTCAGCAGAGTACAGCTTTGAAACAGCTAAGTTTTGCTACCTTAAAATACGTTTATCAAATGTTTCAGACATGGCTCCCTGTGAAAGATTTGATGGTTTTTGTCCGTGTTGTTCCATGCACAACTCAGCTAAGACGTACATTTCTCAGTGATGCTAATGGAGTTTCAACATATAAGCCAAAGATCTTTCTCATTTAGGAAGTCAATCCTTTAACTCCACTTATCATGTAAGTGTTTAAAAGAGCAATTTTCAAACCATTAAGTAGAACTCATGATTTTTGAGATCAACTATAAATCATTCAGTTACGAGACGTATTATTTAAATAATTATAGCTACCTAACTGCTATTGTAATGTTAATCAGGTATATAGAACATTTGCTTATAAAATTTTATTCTTCACATGCAGAATACTAAAGTGTTTTCTGGTAACCTTACTCTTTTAAATAAGGTGTATTTCTCAGCTTCGCTGATCTTGAGCTCCATAGCCAATCTAAAACTAAAAATTTATGCAAGAAGAAATATTTTCCCCTGAAGGGGGAGGGTTGGAGAAGAAGGAATCAACCCAGTAGGAGGATTTGAAACCCAAAAACCACAAAGCATGACCTTGCTAGAGATAAAATTTAGAACAGATAAAATATATTAAAAAAAATACTAAGTTCACAACGGTTTGATCTGAAAATCAATGATTAGCAATAAACCAGAAAGTAAAAATATTTAATTGCTGTCATAATATAGTCATTGTTGACAGTGACTACCTTATCATCTTGCAGGTATCCTTGTAGGAATCTCTTTCCCCTCACGCCCTGCCACAGTGCAGATTAGCCTCTATTGAAGAATTTTGTGAAAGCCTAAACAAAATGCTCAGAATATTTTTTTTCTGAATGCAAGATCTTTTTTGTATTTCTCTGGCTTCAGAAGTAGGTCTTTGAAGTGAGATCATTTGTACTAGAGGATGTCTGCTAAACTAATAAAGAAGACAGATGGCAGTGCTCTTCTGACACCATCAAGTGTCTCATCACCCTCACAATAAAAAATTTCTTCCAACTATCTAGCCTAGATTTCCCCTCTTTCAGTTTGTACCCATTGTTCCTTGACCTATCCCTACAGTTCCTGATGAAGAATGCCTCCCTGGCTTCTCTGTAACCCTCCTTCATGTACTGGAAGGTTGTTGTGAAGTCTCCATGCAACCTTCTGCAGGTTGAACACCCAAACTTTCTCAGCCTGTCTTCATAGGGGAGGTGCTCCACTCCTCTTATCAACCTCATGGTACACCTCTGACTTGCTCCAACAGTTCCACATCCTTCCTATGTTGGGAACACAGGAATCGTAAGTCGTACTCTCAGTGGGGTCTCACCAGAGCAGAGTAGAGAGGTAGAATCACCTCCTTCAAGTTGCTGGCCATGCTTCTTTTGATGCAGCCCAGGATTCAACTGGCTTTCTGGGATTTGAGCACAAATTGACAGCTCACGTTGAATTTTTCATCAGCCATTACACTCATGTCTTTCTACACAGGGTTCCCCCTCAATCACTCCTCCACCCAACCTGCAGGTGTACCTGGGATTGCCATGACCCAGGTGTAGGACCTCACACTTTGCTTTGTTGAACTTCACGAGGTTTGCATCAGCCCACCTCTCAAGTCCTTCCCTCCAGCATGTTTGTTGCACAACACCACGGTGTCATCAGCAAAGCTGCTGAGAGTGTACTTGATCCCACTGTCCACACTGTCCATGTTGCTGACAAAGATCAGATACTGCTCAACAGTACAGGCCCAGTAATGACCACTACAGGGCACCACTCACCACTGGTCTCCACATGGACAGTGAGCTGTATTTGTGCATCAGAGCTTGGATTTGGTAAAAAAAAGCCCAATTCTTCATTTAAATGACAATTCCTCAATGATAAATGTAGTGAAAAATCCAACTTTTAAAATTTTTAAACTGGTTTCATTTGAACAACCTTTTACTAGTATTTTAACCAGAATTTACAAGATTGTATTCAAGTGAAATATTGTAATTTAAATGAATGTTCCCTACAAAGGTGAATTTCATTTAACAGAAATATTTTAGTAAACTTCTTTCTGTGGTGATAGTAGTTATTAGCTGGTATTACTCAGGGTGCAAATATATCCACAGCATAGAAGAATGTTAACAAAAATAGGGCAGTCTTTAAAAAGAATATGAATCAATTCATCCCCAGGTAGACTAATTAAAAAGGGCCTTACTTAAAAACATTCCCCCTCCCCTCCAAAACCATCCACCTGTTTTAACCAGTAAAAACATGCTGCAAATCTGTCAAAGTACTCATAAATATGCTTAATCAATGTCTGTATTGGCAGAGTTCCAGAAACATGCAAGGTGTGCTCAAATTACACAGAAAAAGGCAAGTTGCTATTGTTGACATCTTCAGCATAAAATACTTAATACAAGATGTATCTGACAGCATTCAGGCTGGCATCTCTCTGCATTCAGAAGACTGAAGCATAACCAAACTTGCTGTCTTAAGTATACAAGTAAACTCTTCATTGTCCAAATTCAAAGCAAGGAAGACCCCTTTAGCTATGAACAAGCTGCTGGTCTATCAACTTCAATACCAAATACAACCACAGGTCCTGCAACCTTCCAAAACCCCTCTGAAATCCTAAATTCTGTTTTTTCCCCGTAACAAAAATTAACATCCTTCTGGCATTGGGAGTGTAAGTGCATTCAGATGAATGAGGTCAGCAACAACATTTGTAAGGTAAGCTGCCATAGATTAGTTTCCATGAGACAACTGGTTTATTCAGGTTAAAAAGGGGTGATTGCCCAGAGGACTGAGTATAAATAAAAGGAAAAAACAGAATCCATAAGATATCTCTGGAGTGCAATACTTACCGTATTAACTTTGAGTCATTTATTCACTGTACGCTCAGTGCAAACTCCATAGAGATTTAATTGAACTGCTTGAAAAAACATACTCGATAGCAATATTCCAGGTATTGTTCAGCCACACTTACCTTTAAAGAAACAGTCTTCATTGTGTACAATGGTGACCTTTTGCTTTTTCAGACAGGCAGCTCTGTGCACTTCGCAGTGGTTTTGATAGAATTCTCCATCAGAACCACACACAGGCTTGTAATGTGGCTTGCAGTGCTCCATGCACAGACACTCAGCTTGACCAGTCTTCCCATTCACAACGCAGTGTCTGCCCAGACCACAGTACTTGTTTTCACATGATCCAAAAAGGCCATCCTGACCAAGATACCCTTAAAAAAAAAAAAAAGCTTGTTTATTAATTACATTTTGTTTAACTGCATGCAAGATATAAAAAGGATTGAATTGTGTACATAAAGTGACACTACGTCTTTTGTTCCATCCTTGACTAATATTTAACATAGGTCAGCCTGAAATGAAACAAATTTAGTCTCTTTATCATAACTTTTATGCTTTCATTCATCATCATATATTAACTGTAATTAAGAGCATGATCTAGTAACAAGATTTACTCTTCATTAAAAAAACCCCAACACAGTAAATCATGTATTTTTAAATGCGTATTGAAGTTTTTCACTTTAAGATCGCTATACTATTGCATGTAATAGAACAATGCATTCTCTAGAATTTACATCATAGAATATATCAAGTTGGAAGGGACTCATAAGGATCATTGAGTCCAACACTATGCTTCTCACAGGACAACCAAAAACTAAACCATATGACTAAAAACATCATCCAGAAGCTCAGCAAACTCTGACAGGAAGATAAAATAGACATTCACACATGAAGACTGAACACAAGAATAACTAGAGCTGGGACAAGGCTCTTAACCAACACATAGAATTAAAAAAAAATAAAACAACAAAACCTCTGACAGCAATATAGTAACATTTGAGGGAACAGAGCATGGATGAGCAGGACATTCAAGTGAATAGTGACTAGGAGTTAAATGACCCTCTAGCAGAATTTCAGTGAAGACAAATGTGATTTGGATAGCAAACAGAGCTTTAAGAGTGCAACAGTAAAGAAGTTTCTGCTGGCCACAACGTCCAGTTCCTTCTGCTCCTAAAACATGGAAATGGATTGTCTACATTAGGCTGCCAAAGCCACCTCTCCACTTTCTATCCCGTCTGTGTTGCTGCCACCATGTAAGATAAGGACTATTTGTCAGGAGCAGATCTCTTGGTGAAAGACAAAGTTCAGTGCACAATAATACTTCCTTATTATACCCTCAGTTTCCATTTTGACTGCCATGAACTGTGGCTTTTTGGCAAGGGAAAGGGTATGATGTGAAAAACGAAAACAGAATTGTCAATTGCAACTACCAAAACTTCAACTACATAGGTGTTCTGATAACAGGTGTTCTGAATTGCGTCCTAAAATAAGCATAAAAATACTAAAATGCCTTCAAATATGGAAATAGACACTGCCCTTCACAGTTATTTCCTTTTATTCTCTCACTCCACACTCCTAATCTCCAGAATAAACACCTAGCATTTTAATTCCTTGCAATACTTTCCTTATCCTCACAGCCTAGCTGAATAGTACTTGGTTAACCCATACAAAAATGGTGTGAGCAAACAAATCACAATGCATAATTTCGTAATTATTTGGTCATATTAGATTCATTTCCTGTAGTGAAGTGCTAACACGTTAGTACCATAGTTTGACGCACATTTCTTGTAACCATGGAGAATTTATGTTCTTCATTTTAGTAGCAGAAAAAAAATCTTACCACTTTTTCTTCTTAAGCTTACAGGTCTATTAGACAACCGTGCTTTGATTTCTTGCTTTCTCATACAGCACAGATTTTCTAGACTTAATGTACCACAGAAAGCACGCAACCATAAAATTGGGTCTAATGACATGCTTTCGTTATATTACTTGATAACAATTTCAGCACAAAGTTAAGGGGACTACATATCCATCTCAGGTGTTATATGGCTGATACAGCTATACTACAGTGATTTTTATTCACATGTATAGCCCAGACTGATGGTGAGTTTAAGTGCTCACACCCCAAACTGAGTTGAAATAGGCAAACCCAATTCAATATTAAAATTTCCTATAAGTTTTTGAAAATATTTCTCCTTGTGCCTATGTATCACCACTATTACAAGAAACAGACATTAATTGACAGAAATTAATGTAAACTCAATTTTCTTCTACTAGTGCCAACCTCAAATAAGATCTTCAATGTCCAAGAGTGCTTTAAAGCATAGGTCATGTACACATATTGCAGAACTTAAGAACAACTTTGAAGTGATGGAATTTGTACAGTTCAAAGCCAAAGTCCATAAATCATTATTGTTTTTGCTTTCTGAATGGAAAATAAAGATCTCAGTCTGACAACCTCTCTGAATTATTGACGAGTGTGTGGTGACTCAACAATACACTGTGTTGTATGTTGCTATGAAAATACAATCAATTTAAGACTACACTTGGGACTTCATTTTAGTACTATAATTGAATCTGATGCCTGAATGCAAAACAGCTTCTTTCAGATAAGGGAGAATGATTTACATAATATATACACGATATACATGATATATAACATGTAATAAACACTTGAAGAAAAGTACCAAGATCAGTGTTTACAAAGCCATAGTGCTGTCTACTCTCTTGTATAGTTCCGAATCATGGGTCATCTACCGCCATCACCTGCGTCTCCTGGAACGCTTCCATCAACGCTGCCTCTGAACAATCCTAAACATCCACTGGCCAGATTATGTGACCAATACATCTGTTCTAGAACAAACAGCAGTCACTAGTATTGAGGCCATGTTGCTGAGAACACAGCTGCGCTGGGCAGGGCACGTCTCGAGGATGAAAGATCCTTCCCTAAGATCTTGCTCTATGGCGAACTTGCCACCAGCTGCTGCAAGAGAGGAGCCCTGAAGAAAAGATACAAGGACTCCCTGAAACAACATCTCAGCTTTGGCCATATTGATCATCATAACTGGTCTACTCTGGCCTCAAATCGGGAGCTCTGGAGACACACCATCTATAACACTGCCATTTCCTTTGAGAACACACGCAGGATCACTCTCGAGGAGAAAAGACAACGCAGAAAGAACCGTGTCTTGCTGAATACACCACCTAAGGAGTCTTTCTGCTGTGCCTTTTGCAATCGGATATGTCTATCTCGTATTGGCCTCATAAGCCACCAGCATGGTTGTAAAAAATGTGGATAGAGCCTTCCTAAATCTTTGTTTGCAAAGCCTAGCCATGATGATGATGATGAACATGTACATGATTTTTATAATATTGGTATATGTCAATGTATACGAATTATGGACAGCAATAAACAAGTAATATTTTTGCCCTAATGAAAAACTATATTTGTTATGAAATATTTTATAAATATTTCAATTTTACACCATTAACTATTCAAAAACAATACATATATTTTCATACATATCTGCATATGCAACTTCTTCAGTTGAGGGCTGTAGTAAAATTCCCATTGACCTCAATAGAGGCAGGATTCTTCCTCCAGATATAGCTGGAGGTCTTAAGTTATAGCCTCAGGTTTAACAGCTTTAAGAAACACTGTTCTGTGCAGAAAAGGAGCAGCTATGTAGACTATCAAATAGTTTATAGTACATACAGTAAATATTTAAGAAGAAAGAGTTTAAAAGTATACTCTGAAACAGTCCACCAACCAGTGGTTATCAGATTACCAGATCACTCATAGCAAAAAAAATAAGTAAAATCCATGCAATTGCAAATGAGGTGACAAAATGTTCACAAACATAAATTTGAACTAAAGTGCACCCAATTCTGAAAATTTAAACAAACCAATAAATTCAAAATAGTTACTGTGAGATACTAATAAAAGAGTTTAGACAGTAAACCAAAGAAACAAAATAACCCAACTTAAGTAAAACCAACTTCTACTGCTTTTCACTGCTCCAGCTCAACTTGCAAGAATCACTATATTTGACAAATCCTTTTTATTTTATATTTCCAAAAAACATAATTCCATAAGTTTCATCTTGGAATAGAACTGATAAAAAGTTACAAGAATCTTGCAATTAACAATAAAACCCTATGTTTTCAACCAATATGGGCCATGACTTGCAGCCCATTCATGAAATGTCTGACTGTTTCAGTGACTCTCAGGAAATCAAGACTACTACTTTTCCTTCCTGGAATTATTTTTAATGGAGGTATACTTTTGATAGTATGATAATGGAAAAAGGTTGGGATTTTTTAATTTTTCTGGGGGGTTTAGGAGGTTTGTTTTTGTTGGTTTTTTTTTTGTTTAGTTGAGTATTCTGAATGACAGTGTAGACAAGTCTCCTGAGATAAAATTGTTTAGGATGCAGCACCCATTCAGGAGACCATCACCATCACAAACACCAAGTGTTTCTGAGGGTTGTTCTTCTGTCTAAGCATTTAAATTTAGAAACTGAACTAGTAAAAGGTGAACTTCAGTTTCTATATTTAGATATAACTCAATAATTTAGTAGAGAAGGCAAGCAGCCTGGCATATTCAATATTAGGAGAATAAAAACCAGTCAGGATGACAAATAATCTAGTCAGGAATGCTAGTATTTTTCCAGCAATTTGTTATTGCTTATGTGATGAGAGATAAGTCTATATTTGTCAAATACCACAACACAACAATAGGAAAGTGTGCACCCATATTAGCAACGTATACTGAATTTTCAGCCAAAAAACTATAATATCTATGCATTCTGAGTGTATCTACAGTACTGTAGGAAACAAAATGTATTTTGTTCCATTTGAAAGTAAGGTAGAAAACATTTAAAAATTATCATTGCTTTATGTTAAAAAAAATATCTTATTCAAGAACTATCAGTAGAAGTGTATTATGGCCAAGACAGCCAAAGCAGTCCCATAGATTTTTCAGATTCTCTTGAAATTTAAAACTCTTAACAGATATAAAATTAAATAACAAATAAAAATAAAAGGTTTTTTGTTTTAAAAAGTGTGAGAAAATTAAACTCTTTTAGCTTTTAAGAAAAAAATATAGAGTTTCAAATCGTCAGTTGGGATTCCTCATACAGGTTTCCTATTTAAAGGTTAGTTTTGCAGCACCCAGAGTTCAGCAAGCTCTAGGTCACACTTGAATAATTTACAGTTGGGAATTAAGTGGATGTTTTAGCATGCAAAAGACTCACAGAAATCTACACTTTTCCCTTTTAACTAATCAGTTTAAAGAAACATTCCACACGGAAACTTTGGAAATTTATGAGAGAATGAATCACCATGTTCTACAGTTGGCCCTGGGCTGGAACAC